GTGCTGCAGGCCGAGCCGCACCGCGCCGGGCGGCAGTGGAAGTTCGCCGGCTCCTTCTACTTCGCCATCACCGTCATCACCACCATCGGTGAGTGCGGGCACCGCGCTGTGCCGCCCTGAAAGCAGCCTCCCCGCATCCCTGCCCCTGCAAATCCCTGCACCCCCAAATCCCCATATCCCCACATCTCTGCACTCCCAATTCCTTGCACCCCTGCATTCCCAAATCCCTGTATCACCACATCTCTATACCCCCAATTCCCTGCACCCCTGCATCCCCAAATCCCTGTATCCCCACATCGCTGCACCCCACACTCCTGAAGCCCCGAAATCCCCCATCCCTGCACCCTCCTTGCCTCCAGGTGCCCCAGGACAGCCCAGAGGGCTTGGCTGCGTGGGAAAGGCAGATCTCGCCCATACAAGGCTGGGGTGTCGCTTCATGCCAGCCCCTGGGCTGACCTGGCAGGACCCCAGGGCTTGGCAGCCTGCGCTGAGAGAGACAATTCGTGGGCAGGCTGGGGGCCACCCCGTTCTGGGGGATTCAGAGGTGCTGCAACGGCTGGACGTGCACGCTGTCCCAGCAAGGCGGCAGCACGCAGAACTTCTGCGAGCGCCTTCATGGCAGGGAGCTGCAGAAGTTGGCTGGGGTGCAAGAGAGCTGAGGTGGGAGCCATGCTCGTGCTCTGCATGGCGTTGTGCCGATGCGTGCACTGCTGTGCAGAGTTCTCCGAGCGGAGCCAGCAAGCTTGGCTGAAGAGCTGGCCAAGAAGCGTTGGCCTCACTGACAGCGCAAAACTCCGGATGTTTTTCTGCACCAGACCTGCTTCAGGGAGCCAGGACAGCCACCACGACACTGAACCTTGCTCTGTCCGCACGGGAACCCTCAGAGAAATGGCTGTGAATTAACCTTGGAAGGGAATGATTGAATTGCATTAAGTTCCCATGTAGGTGCACTTACCCAGACCAAGGCCCAGCCTTGATTTGATTTGTCCTCTTCTATTTTGGAAGAGAATGAAACTAAATTGAATAAGGATTGTTTTAATTCTAGAAGAGATTAGCCACATGGGTGTTTAACATGGTTTAATTAAACCAGTTTTATTAATCCATGCGCCTCGAGTGTCCCGTGTGGGCAGGCAGCCCTTGGGAGCCCATGCTTGTGGCAGTCCTTGTACCGTGATTTCAGCGAGCAGATGTGTTTTGGAGGCAGGAACCCTGAGGCCAAATCCTGGCCTTTTCCAGCTAGCGGCTGACTGGCTGCCTCCTTGTCTGTAGGACAGGGATTAGCCCTAAGGAGGGGCTTGGAACGGATAGAATATATCTAGTAGCTGAAAGCACCGTATTTCAGGGCATGGGCAACCAAGGACTGGTGGGATCAACTGCATGGTGTTGTCTGGGGATAAGAGGTGGCACTTGGGCAGCTCCCTGCAGTTGCCTGCAGGTGCAACCCCGGGAAAGCGGTTTGTATGCCCACACTCAAAGTGGTGTGGGGTTTGTGCTGTTGCTAACGCGTGCAGCCAGGAAACGGGGATGGAGTCAGGGCACGTTTAATGCAATACCCCAGCAGTAAGGTAAGACGAATGACTTCAGCAAAAATCCCCATCATCTCATGACAGGTTATGGCTTCATTTACATTATTTTTCAGTTGACTGTGACAAATATGATTGTTAAGCATATCACACACACCGTGCAATAAATATTTCAGCCCAGATGCCATATTTCTTAGACACTGGCACATCAGCTCTCTTTAAATGGGGCTGTGCTCTGTATCTCAGGTTTACCATTAACGTAGCTGTGTTTACTCTTTCTAATTCCCTTTGTCATTCTGAAAGCATCAGTCATACGCTCTTTCAGGAGTCTCTCAGGATAAAACAT